TCGCGGCTTGCCTGGGAGCGAGGCCCCTCTGGAGGAAATCCGATCGTTTGGGCAGGAGCCGGGGCCCCTCGAGGCATCCTCGCAGTCTGCTGAGGGAGGAGGCACCCGCTCGAGGCATCCTCGCAATATGCCCAGGGATATTACTCAAGATTGCACCTCCCAGCCTCAGGGTTGAAACAGCAACCCAGGATTGAGGCTTTGATCGGCTAGGTATTTGATCAAGGCAATTGTTCGACTTGCGTCTCCTTCTTGCACTGCACCACTGTCGTCGCTGGCCGATATAATATGCGTATTGCTCCTCCTCCTCCTCCTCCTCCTCCTCCTCCTACTCCTTTTCCTCCTCCTGCTCCTTCTCCTCCTCCGCTCATGTGGGACAACTGTGCGAGTACCTCAAGCTATTCCCTGGTTGGTCTACGCATTCGCGAGCTTGGTTCTTGTCCTCCTCTCTCCCCCTCGTCCTCCCCTCCTTCCTCCTTACCCCATCCGTCCGTGTCCCGAGTCCAGGGCCACGGCAGGTATTTGCATTCGTCTTTGCAGAGATAGTGTAAAGATGTCGTCCTCTACAGGTTCAATCTGAACGCTTGTGTGTAGAAGACTGGTCCAATCGTGTACAGTGGACGTTCGGCTGTCGCCAAAGGTGTGCGAACCTCTTTGCCCCCGTGTCGTGTTTGATAGGCCCTGTGCTGCTGTGTCCTCATCCGCAAAATATTGAAGCTCTGATCCAATATTGAAGTTCCGAACACCAATGCAGATCCTCGCATTTTGATGCAGTTCAAAATTTCAATCTGGAGTTTGGCAACTCCACTTGCGTTGTTTTGCAATCTGGAGTTGCCCCACGCGGAAGGTGTCCGTGCGATCGCGTATCCGCGGGATCGCGCCCCAAGATCCAGACCGCGAGGGCGTGGATATGGATACGTTGCCTAGACAGGAACGATGCAACGCCAACGAGGGGGGCGGTAGGAGGTGCAATGTCTAGCTTGCGCGAACTATTGCGCGAACTCTTGCGCAAGTTTTTGCTGGGGGACACAAATTATTGCAAGGGGCGTACAACTTTGCGCTTGAGAGAATACACGACTGCACCCACGCGCATTTGCGACGTCCAGACCGCAAGCCCTTACATCCAGGTGGAAACTGCGGACAATTATTGCACCTGCTCTGCCCCCCCCCCATCAGTGCCATCACCATTAACCCAAATCCCTCATTAATCGACCCCCCCTGGAAAAACCGGATCCCCCTCCAAATGCGACCTAATGTTCCGGACCCCCCTCTTCGACGGGGCGACTTGATAAACCGGACCCCCATATAAGCTCCAATGCGAAGAAAGCGCCCTGTAATAAACCGGTCCCCCCCAATTACACAAAAAGGCGCCTTAAAAACCCGACCCAGGGGACGATTCATAAGGGATTTGGAGGACTCTTCGGGGGCGGCCAAGAGGGGGGTGAGGACGAGGGGGGGGGGGATATCATGGCGGGGGCCATGAGATCTCCCCAGATTTCATGGCCCCACTTCTTCTTTCAGTACGTTCCCTGGCCCACCCCCTGGGCCGCGAACATGCCGCTGGCCATGATTTGCGCCCCCCCCTCTTGGACGACCCCCTCCCAGACCCCCGACGTCATGATTTTTGCATGACGCGACCCCCATAGAGGTCTGGACCCAACTCCCCGGGACCGGCTTCTCATCCTGAGTCGTGTTTGGACGGCCCCGAGGCCCAGCCAGGGCCCCGAGAGGCCGAAAAGAGCGAAACACCCTCCGTCGGGATTTCTGCACGGCGCGAGGAGGTCTGGGCCCTCCTGCCGCCCCCGACCTCTGGCTGCGGCGCTCCGCCCCTCGTGAGGCCTGGGCGCGCCTGGAGCTGCTGGAGGGCGGGTCCCTGCGCGGGCTCCTGCGGGAGCGGCGCCCGGCCGCGCTGCCGGAGGACACGGCGCGGTGGGTGCTCTGCCAGGTGCTGCAGGGCCTGGAGGACTCGGGGGGAGAGGACACAGACGCGAGTAGCCTCAGGTAGCATCGTCGAGCATCTGGGAACATGCGGGAAGCATGCGGGACACATCTGGGACAATATCGGGGAAACATGGGAACATCTTCGAAAATACGGACTCAGGAACATTCGCGAAAATCTGGGAAGGGGGGGGGGGGAAGACAGAAACCCAGAAAATACAGGAAAACATGGGGAATTCTGGGATTTCTGTGTATTTATGCGTGTGTGTTTGTGGGCCCCTTCAAGGACCTCCACCACGCCGGCTGGATGCACCGCGACCTCAAGGCCGAGAACATAGGTCGGGGGGATCGGATTGACCCAAAAGGGGGTCCAGCGACAGGGGAGGGGTGCAATTGATTTGGTGCAGGAAGTTCGTGAGGTTACAATGCGTATTTGGGGCGTGCAACACGTACCGGGGCTGAGATGTACTGCTGGATTTTCGCGTGCTATGCATTACTTGCAATACAATGCAATACGATTCTACGGCACAATTCATTTGCAATCCAATTTCCCCAAATCTATTGCACTACCCCCTTTCAGCTGGACCCCACTTTGGGCCACCCAAAGGGGGGAGCAGACCCAGATCTCCACCAGTCCGGTTTTTTCAGTCCAGGCGCGTTTTTCTCGGTGTCGGCTTCCGGAGGCCGTCTAAGGGACCTGAGGCCATGAGACATGATTCTGGGGCGACGAGTTGCACTTGGGCGAATCTGCCGGGACCGCTGGGACCGCGGATTGAGAAGCTCATATTGGCGGATGTCGGGGGAGTATCGATGACACACCGCCATTGGGATCCCGTCAGCGTGTTACTCCTTCGCTTTCGTCCGAATGCCTCGTGTTCCTTCAATGCTGACGCGCTGATGGCAACGCTAACGCGCTGTTGGGTTCCCTGCGGCGGCGTGTCCTTGATACTCTTCCTGCGCCCGCAACAGGCATACGCGAACCCCCGGGCCTGGTGTCGGCGCCAAGGGTCAAACTGATGGACTTCGACAGCGCTGTGCGGGTGCCGCCGCGGCCTGAGGCTCTCGCGGATGTCATAGGCACGGTCGAGAACATGGCGCCAGAAGTGTTCGACGGCCAGTACGACGAGCGCGCCGACTGCTGGAGTCTGGGGGTCGTGACCTACGAGTGTCTGTTCGGGTACCGACCTTTCAACGACGCCAGCGTAGACCGCGTCGAGGAGATGGTGCGCCACTGGGATCGGTACCTACACTTCCCATCGGAACACGGCGTTGGCCGCGATGCGCGCGACCTCGTGCAGGGGTTGCTCCAAGACCGCGAGTCACGGCTGAGCAGCGCCGAGGCCCTGCGCCACCATTGGCTGCAGCGCGAGCGGCAGTCGCTTACGAGGCCGCAGCAGAGGCCGCAGCCGCCGCAGCAGAAGCCGCAGCCGCCGCAGCAGCTAGAGAAGCGCAGGCTGTTGCGGTCCAGCTTCGCGATGCCAGCGATGTCCGCCCGCGCCGGGGGTGCGGACCGTTGCCCCTCGAAGTCCAGCGGCGGCACGGAGTATCGACCAGCGCCGCTGCAGCAGCTTTGGTCGGCGCTGAAGCCAGGCCGCTCCAGGAAGGCGGATGAGGACGGCGGCGGCGCCAGTGCCGCTCTGGGCAGGGCCAGCGGCAGCCCCGCTGGCAGCGCAAGCAGCTCGTCGCGGCCCGCCCAGATGCCCGCCAGTCCGGCCCAACCGTCGTCCCCGACGGCCACGGCAGCCCGCGACGAGGTGTCCAGCCTCCTGCGCCTCCAGCGGTCCTTGTCTGAGTGGAACGCCGCCCAGTCCCAGGCGCCGCACGCCCTGGACGCGGTGATGCCGGCCGCCGTCAGCGCGACGGACCCGTCGGGGAGAGGGCACCGCCGGAGCTGGGGGAAGCCAAAAGGTTACCGACACCGCTGCTCCACGGGCCTCTCCCGGGGTGCCTTCCAGCCAGGATATCGAAGAGACTCCAGACGCTACGACGGGGGATCTGCAGGACGAGCAGCAGTGTCGGTCGTCTTTTCTCCCTCTCGAGGAGCGCCGCCTCTCCGCTGGGCCACCGGCGGCAGCGCCCGCCCTGGCGGGATGCGCCGGCAGCGATGACGGCGCGGCTGCCCGAAGCGGCGGCCGTGGCCGCCGCGGCCCGAGAGGCGCCGCGGCGGCCCACGCCCCCGCGCACGCCCCCGCGCTCGCCCCAGAGGTGCCAGAGGTCCAGGTCCATGGGGGACCCGCTGCGTGCGGGCCAGGCCGCGCCCGCGCGCAAGCTGGCTGTTTGGATCGCCGCGAGGGGTGCTGAGCTGGTGGGGGGCCACGAGTGGATGCCAGGACGGGTTGCATCTGGCCCAGCACCGCGCTCAAGGTGATTACAGGTGACACAGATGGCCTGGGTGGGTTCGGTAGCTCCGCCAAGTGGGCGGAGTCCACTTGGTCCGGATCTCTCCCTAGCCTAGGCCACTCAGGGCACTTCTGACCCCTTTGTAGCCTAGGCTCGGCCAGATATTACCCACCTGCGCATCAATGTGCAATCGCCTGCCCACTTAGCAGCCACCACGGTGAGCCAAGTATTGAGAGTGACCGTTCGCTTGGGTGACCTCTGGTGCGGGCAGAGGTGGGCCCCCCCCCAGCACTTCCCTGCCCGCCAGGATGCGGCCCCGTGCGGCCCTCCAAGGCCTCGCACCACAGGTCGCTCTTGCTTTGGGGGCCACTCCCTGCGTGCAGCCCAGCGAGGCTCCGCGCCTGGGCGCCCACCACTACGCGGCCCCGCCTGGAAGTGGCGGCTCGCCCCCCGCGGTAGCACCTGAGGAGGCGGAGGCCGCGGAGCTTGCGGAGATGGAGCACCTGCGCGCGGTGCGCGAGCGTGCGCAGGAGCTGATGCGCAGGATGAGCTCGCAAGCGCCCTCGCTGCCGCCGCCGCCGCTGCAGCAGGAGGACTTCGAGGCGCCTCCCTGCCCAGATGGAGAGCTGCTGGACGACCTGGCGAAGGACAAGCAGCACCTGGGGCGGCTGCTGGCGCAGCTTCAGCACGACCTTGCCCAGGCCCCAAGAGCGGCGCCCCTGTGATATGTACCCTGCCTCCTCTGTCTCCTCCTCCTCCTCCTCCTTCTCCTCCTTCTCCGCCGCCTCCTTCTTCTTCTCCCTTCCAGGGCGGCCAGCCTAGGAGTTTGGGGGGGGGGGGGGGAATCTCATGGCCGGGGCCATGGCATCTCCCCGGACGTCGCGCTCCCCTCGCCCTCTCTCCGCGCGTCCCCGGGCCCCCTCTGGGCCGCGCGCGTGCCCCGGGCCACGATCTGCGAGCCCCCTATCGCGGATGCCGCCGTTCCGAACGCCCCCGATCCCCACTGTGCGCTTGCTCGTCATCTCCACGAGGGGGGGGGGGGGGCCTTGCCTTCGGCGCCTAGCTCGCCTCGACGGGGTGGCCAGCGGAAGAGTGGTAAAGCAGCGGCGGGGCCCTCTGGCGGCAGCTCGGCGGAGGCTCGGTGGAAGGCCGCCGAAAGCGAGAAGCCGACGGGTCCGGTTCAGGGCACGCGGAGTCGGCCACATCACCCAAGGGCGGCCTGCTTCCCTCTTCCCCCCCCCCCCTCCTCCTCCTCCGCCTCCTCCTCCTCCTCCTCCTCCTCGTCCTCCTCCCCGCCCCGACCCCCATGAGTAGCGCTTACGAAACGGCCTTGGGCGTTTACTGAACAACCCTGTACCGCTCGATTCCTTATCTGACTGCGTGTACGACACGCTTTCGCTGCGTATTACGAGGGGGCTCTTCTGCTCTCTTATCATCCCTCCTATTTCTCACCCTTCCATCTCGTCTTCCTCATTTTTCTCACTTGTTCCTCTCCTCATCCATTGCTGTCTCTGCCCTTCCAAAGTGTTTCCCCTCCTCGTTTCGTAGTCCTCCTCCTCCTCCTCCTCCTCCTCCTGATCCGCAGCCCTCCCCCGTTATCCTCTCTCCCACCCTCCCCTATAGCATCTTTCCGTTGCCTCTTATCCTCCGCCGTTTCGTCGTTATCGTCATCGTCCTCAGTTTTCTCGTCCCCCCTTTCTCCTGCCCTCCCAGCTCCTCCAGAATGAATTAGTTGATCCGTCCCTTTCTCATCCTTTTCCTCTTCTGCTTCTGTGCACCGATTTTGTCCTCACGCTTTCCTTCTTTCTCCTCATCACCATCTTTTCCTCGGAAGGAAGAGGGAGGAGGAGGGTGGGAGGCCCTGGATTTAAGTCGGGCCTGCCCCTGTACAGGAGGGATCTTCAAACATAGAAAAAACGTCAGGGTGTTTTGTTTTCTGTAGTGCGTTTAGTATGTATTGAATATGTGCGGAGTATTTTTTATATTTCGTCCAAAATCCCTCCTGTAGGGGGACAGGCCCGACGTAACCCTGGATGAGAGGAGGAGGAGGAGGAGGAGGAGGAGAAGGAGAGGGAGGAGCAGGAGGACCAGTGCAAACCCAAGACTCATCAACGATGTTGGAATACACCCTCCCTTCAAGCTTTTTCTCTATAGGCACTTACAAGGGTTCACCTCCACTGAGGGAAGTGCCCTGTTGGAGGACAATTGTGTGCAAGTTCTGAAGCGTGCCAAAACACCATTCCCTGGACGTCAACGCCAATAATCAACTTGACTGTTGCGTCTTGACAATACGGAATCGTGCCAGAATGCCATTTCTGGGACTTCAACACCGCGAGTCAACGTGACTGTCGTGCCCTGACAATCCTGCGTCGTTTCAAATAACTATCTCTGCTACGCCAACCATGAGAACCAGTAAACGGATGCAAATGTTTGAAGCGAATGTGATCGGTGTTATGGCGAGAGCCTCATTGCGAAAAATAACTGCTCTCAATCTGTGAAGCCCTTGCAAATGTTTATAGCGAGCGTGCGTGGCCCTGAGGCGAGAGCCACATTCCGAACAGGTGCCGCCCTCAGTCCGCGAGTCTCTTCCAGATTTCTACGGCGAGTGTGCGCGGCGCTGAGGCGAGAGCCACGTTTTGAAAACGGCGCGCCCTCAATCCGTCAGACTCTTGCGGCTTGTTAAGGCGAGTGTGCGCGGCGCGAAGGCGAGAGCCACCTTTTTAAAAAAGACCCGCCCTCCCTCCGCGGAGCCCTTGCCAATTTTGCAGACCGGTGTGCGCGGCGCTGAGGCGAGAGCCCCCACTCTGGCAGCGGCCCGCCCTCCATCTGCGAAACCTTTGCCAGCGTTGAAGCCCGAGGCCCGCCAGTGGTGAGGAAGTCTCTGGCGACACGCCCAGCCCGCCCTTCCGACTGGCTTCGGGGTGCGACCGGGAGGAGTCATTCGTAAGGTAGAGGAGGTACGGAGCGAGAGAGGGGGGAGGCAGGATGGAGAAGGAGGAGGGAGGAGGAATGTGGGAGGGAGCAGTTCTCCTCCTCCTCCTCCTCCTCCTCATCTTCCTCTTCCTCTTCCTCCTCCTCCTCCTCCTGTTCCTCCTCCTCCTCCTCCTTTTCCTCCTCGTCCTCCTCCTCTTCATCCTCGTTGAACTCCTCCTCCTCCTCCTGCTCCTCCTCCTCCTTCCCCCGTGCCCCCCCTTGCCTCCTCACTCCTGGCGCGCGCGCTTCCCCCGAGAGAGGCGGCCGGTGGCCGCCGTCCCGTGCACGTCGTGTCCGTCGCCGCCCCCCCCCCCCCCCCCCCCCAGGACTCGTCCGTGCTGCCCTGCTGGAGGCACCCGCGAGGCCAGAGCCGAATGGATGGGAGGAGGAGAGGAGGAGGAGGAGGAGGAGGAGGAGGAGGAGGACGAGGAGGAGGAGGAGGAGGAGAGGAGGAGGAGGAGGAGAAGAGGAGGGGGGGAGGGAGGAGGAGGAGGAGGAGGAGGAATTGGTATAGGAGTAGCTACATGACGGCGTCTTACCGAGGAGGAGGGAGAGAAGGAGGAGGGGGAGGAGGGGGAGGAGGAGGAGAAGGAGAGGAGACCTGTGGAGGAGGAGGAGGAGGAGGAGGAGGAGGAGGAATGTAAACGCAATGCTCATCAACGATGCTTGAATAAACCCTCTCCCCGAGCTCCCTCTTCCAAGGATTCATCTGCACTGAGGGAAGTGCCCTGTGTGGAGACAACCGTTTCAAGATCCTGATGCGCGCCAGAACACCGTTATCGGGACTCCGACGCCACGAATCAGCTTGACTATTGCGTCTTGCCGATCCTGAATCGTGCCAGAATGCCAGAACACCCTTCCTGGGACTTCATCACCGCGAATCAGCGTAGCTGCTGCGCCTTGGCAATCTTGATTCGTTCCAGAAGCACCAGGTCTGGTACGCTAACCATGGGAATCCGTGGAACCCTGGCAAATGCTAAAGACAAGTGTGCGCTATGGCGAGAGCCACTGTTTGAAAGGAATCGGCATCAATGCGCAAAACACTTGCGACGCTTTTAAGACAAATGTGCGCGGTGCTATGGCGAGAACCACCTTATGGAAGCCATCTGCCCTTCATCAGTGAAACGGTTGCCAGTTCGTAAGCTTCAGAATCAGACCTGGTCAGGACGACTCTAGCGAAACCCCCGCACCGCCCTGCCGACTGGCCTCGGGGTGCGGCAGAGAGGAGTTATGTAGAAGGAAAGGGAATGGAGGAGGAGGAGGAGGAAGAGGAGGAGGAGGAGAGGAGGAGGAGGAGGAGGAGGAGGAGGAGGAGGAGGAGGAGGAGGAGGAGGAGGAGGAGGAGGAGGAGGAGGGAGGGGGAGGGGAGGGGGAGGTGGAGGGGAGGGGGAGGGGGAGGGAGGACGAGGGGGAGGGGGAACACGAGGGGCCATGGTAGGGGTGGGAACCTGTCAGGACGGAGGGAGGGAGAAGAACCAGGAAGAATGGACGAAGGAAGAGGATGAATAGGCTGTGGAGAAAAGGGAAGGGAGAGTGGAAGGGGAACGCGGGAGGACGATGTCGGTGATCACCGGCCGCGGCATCACGGCAGCACCGCCCCGGCAAGACCGCAGGTGCTCGCCATCGTTGGCGCGTTCCTGGATGCCACGAGACTCGCGGCGCTCGGGGCGCTGAACGCGGGGGCGAGGCTCCAGCTGGAGGAGGCGCGCGCGCGGGCGAAGCGTGGCAGCGGGACGGCGGCGGGCCCCACCATGAGCAGCGCTCGCGCCCACGGGGCCGACAGAGGAGGAGGAGGAGGAGGAGGAGGAGGAGGAGGAGGATCCCGAGGACGAGAGGGAGACGGAAGGCAGATGCAGAGGATGAGGATGAGAATGGGAATGACAGCAGGGATGAGGAGGAGGAGGAGGAGGAGGAGGACGAGGTCGGACGAAATGAGGAGGCCGAGGAAGAGGATGGAAGCGCGGTCCCTGTTTAGCCGCTGGTCTTTCGTTCCTTCTGATATCGTTCAAAGGCGGGCCAAGAGGCCTCCAACAAGGCCCCAACACGGCCCAAACCATCATGTTCCTGGGGAGCCATTTGGGAGCATGATTGCTGCCGCCAGTCCGTTGAGGAGGTCGATTTGGAAGAGGAGGTGGAGGAGAAGGGGAAAGAAGAAGGGGATGCGGACGGCGGAGGCACGGGTTGCGGATGATACCGGGGATGCCAAAAGGGTAGTGGTGAGGAGAAGGAGGAGGAGGAGGAGGAGGAGGAAAAGGAGGAGGAGGAGGAACAGGAGGATGAGGAGTAGGAGGAGGAGGAGGAGGAGGAGGGGGAGGAGGGAGGGCGACGGAGAGGGGGAGGACGGAGGAGGAGGAGGAGGAGGAGGAGAGAGGAAGAGGAGAAAGAGAAGGAGGATAAGGGCGAGGAGGAGGAGGAGGATTCAAACGAGGATGAGGAGGAGGAGGAGGACGAGGAGGAAAAGGAAGAGGAGGAGGAACAGGAGGAGGAGGACGACGAAGAGGAGGAGGAGGATGAGGAGGAGGACGAGGAGGAAGACTAGGAGGAGGACGAGGAGGACGACGAAGAGGAGGAGGAGGAGGAGGAACAGGATGAGGAGGAGGAGGAGGACGACGAAGGGGAAGAGGAGGAGGAGGAGGAGGAGGAACAGGAGGAGGAGAAGGAGGAGGAGGAGGAGGATTAGGAGCAGGAGGAAGATTGCGGACGGAATGAGGAGGCCGAGGGCGAGAATGGAAGCGCGACCCCTACCCAGCTG